TTGCTGGCAGCAGCCAGCTCATTCACGAAAGTGGGCTCGATTGACTTGCTGGCCACTACCAGCTCATTAAACGGTATTGGACTGGGTAGACTTGCTGGCCATCGGCAGCTCTTTCACGAAATCAGACTTGATTGGTTTGCTGGCAGCAGCCAGCTCATTTGCTGGCCACCGCTAGCTCTTTCATGAATCAGACTTAGGGAATCAGACATGATTGTCCACTGGCTCCTGGCAGCTCGTACATCCAAGTCAACTCACTGATTGGCCCGCTGACGACTGCCAGCTCATTCAGGAGGTAAAGGGGACTTTGATTACCTGCTGGCCCCCATCTAGCTCATTCAGAAAAACGGTCCCTGATTGGCCGCTGGCGAACGTTCTGAGACCCGAGCGCTAAACTGTCTGGTACTCCCCGAATGGGTCATCATTATTAATATTATTATTATTATTATTTTCAGTGACGGGATTGTTGTCGAGTACTCTGATCAAGTTTGGGACGGGACATTCACAAAAACGGTTGCTGATTGGGCCGCCTTTACTACTGTTCTGCTGGTCACTTTGGACGGGTTCGGGACAGACTCCCCGGCTGAGCAATTATTGATATTTTCTTTTCTAGATGATGGGACTACTGCTCACACGCGCGCCAGGCTGCTGAGAAGACTGGGAAGGGGAGACTTTCACCCTCCGCTCAGGTAAACCCCGTCTCCATTTATCCTCGTTGTTGCTGAATCCAGCCACGTGAGGCTTCAGTCGGGACGCAGTAACAGAGAGGAAGAGAGAATGAGCAGAAGGGGGCGGGAAGTTGAAGCGAGCTCCCTGATGTAAAAACAGCAAACTGCGGGTGCAAATTAATGTATTATTTCCTAGTTCATAAGGCTGCTTCCTCGCTGTGAATGGCACACACACACACACTCACTCACACACACACACACACACACACACAGGGAGAGAGAGAGAGGGAGAGAGACAGAGAGAGAGAGAGAGCGATTGAGTGAGAGGGAGAGACAGCAGACTGAGTGAGAGAGAGAGAGAGAGCGGACTGAGTGAGAGGGAGAGACAGCAGACTGAGGAAGAGAGGAGTGAAAGATCAACCCCTGCTGCTGGCAGGAGTTGTTGATTGTCCTGCTGGACATATTATGATCTGATAATGCTAGATTAAAGTGCTTCTGTGGGCAGAGGAAACAGGAGATAATAACCCCCAACACCCTATCTGCTGCTGAGGACCTCGGAAGCGGGCACGCCGAGTGACAGGCGGCGTTGCCCCTGGCTTCAGCGAGCGGTAGGAGCCCCTCCCCGGGTTTCCTCACAACGGGATGGGCCAGCTTAGAACGGGACGCCCCCCTCCGTCTATCCCGGCCTGGGTTTTTCAAAGCCCGGACTACCTGCCGTTGATCCAACAGCACTGGATTCACTGGTTGGAGGCCCGCCCGCAGGACGTGTCCGAGTTAACATGGTTGTTACAGGGACTCGAGGTCTTGCGCCAGTGTCTGCACACCAGGCTTACTGCCAGCTATCGAGCTCACCTGGCGACTGGGCAAGAGTATGTTGATCGTCTTACCGACCTTGCCAGGGGTCCGAAGGACGCTCACACAGAAGAGGAGTGGTGGGTCGAGAGGATGGAGGCGGCAAGAGAATGGAAGGAATGGGAGGTAATAGAGGCCGCCAGATGGGGCAGGAGAACCAAGGTGGGCTTGACAGTCGAGGAGGAGAAAATGACGAGATGGTTCTTTAAGGAGCTAGGGAAAAAGCAGGGAATAGCCATCATGACAGCCATGGATCACCCTTACGATCAGCAAGTGCCGAGGCAAGAATCTACTGCGGAAATCCTCAAGTGTGTCACTGACTTCTACGCACACTTATTTACAGAGGAAGAGGAATGGTCCCCGGAAGACATGGCCACAGCTCCGCAGGAGCACATCTGGAGGCACATCCCCGACGGCCTACCCCGGGAGCGAGCCATGGCCTTGGAAGCGGATCTTATAGGGGAGGAAGTGGCTAGAGCGATTGCTGAGCTCCCCAGTCTTAAGGCCCCAGGGGTGGATGGCATCCCGATTGAGATGTACAAAGCACCTAAAACTCTATTCGTGCCTGTCCTGACCAGAGCCTATAACGATGCGTTGAAGTCTGACGCTCTCCCCGCTAGATTTGCGGACGCCTATGTAGTACTGATTTACAAGAAAGGGGCCCGGGAGGACGTTAGGAACTGGCGCCCTATTTCGATTCTGAACACAACGCATAAGGTGCTAGCAAAGGTTCTAGCTAACCGCTTCAACCACATCCTCCCAAGCGTAATAAACCCGAGCCAAGTGGGGTTTGTCCCGGGCAGACAGATTGTGTCTAATATTCTCCTCGCTCGGCAGGTTCTGCAAAATATGGAGGTGCAAGATCAGCCACTGGCCCTCATCACTATTGACGTGGAGAAGGCGTATGACCGGGTCCGATGGGAATTTCTTTTGCGAAACTTGCAATGCCGCGGGGTGGGTGTCAAGTTCTGTCATTGGACGAAGCTACTCCTCGCCACAGCAGGGACATGCCTGCAGGTGAATGGTGTGCGCTCGGACTATCTGCAGCTTTCGAGATCAGTGCGACAAGGATGTTCGCTTTCCCCGGCGTTATACGTGGTATAGGTTGAAGCCCTCCATGATTTCTTGAGAGGCAACAGCGAACTTCGGGGGCTGCAGATAGACCGGGAACTTAAATCGACGGCGTTTGCTGACGACACAGGGGCCATCATTCCGCCAACAGTGGAACAACTTCGGCGGCTGCAAGCTAGCCTGGACCTGTTCGCGGTCTACTCTGGAGCCTAGGTGAACTGGCGCAAATCCAAGGCTATCCTCCCTCGCAATTGGGTTATCCCCGATGGCTGGGATATCCCTGTCATCCGGGATGGGGAAAACCTCCCCTTTCTGGCTGCTATGTTATGCCCAGACGAGGGGGGGACGCAGCAGATGGAGGGATTGGCAGCGGCGSCCATCTTGCGTACACGGCGATGGGCCAAACGCGCCCACCTTGGAGTCTTTGGCAAGGCCCTAGTGCTCAAGAACTCGGTCCTGTCCACCATGTGGTACGCGGGGGCGATACATATGCCAAGACCACGGGTTTTCAGACAATTGCGGACGACCATTCACCGGTACTTGTGGGCGGGAGATGTGGACGCGGAGTCAGCCATTCCCAGGGTGGCGTGGGAAAAATYGATCCAACCCAGAAGGGAGGGGGGTCTGGCTATTCTGGACCCGGAACTGCAGATTACTGCACTTCAGCTGAGAAGTCTGGTATGGACCCTGTTGGGTGTCGCGGGCTCCACCTGGGAAGGCCTCACCATGCAGCATCTGGCGGCAGTCATGGAGATCACAGAGCAGTTGGTCCTTGTTGCCCTGGTCAGCAGCTCACTGATCGGACATGTCAAGAGGCACTGGGTTTGGTCCACCTCCATTGGTTTGTGGAAACGTATGCGGTTGGAGCAGAAGATGCCGGCCTCTGCGGATGAGGTTTTTAATCAACTTCTATTCGATAATCCYTGCATCTGTGACGAGGAAGGGGATCCCTTCCCATGGCAAGGATCCCCGCAGGCCTTTGGCCGTACGTGGGCGCTCGATGGAGTTTTCAAGATTGGCCACCTGTGGAATAAGGCTGAGGGTACATGGGGGAGTGACAATGATATGGTAAGGAAGCTGCCCCACAAGTTTCACAGGCGGCAAAGGCTGAGGCATTGCAGGCGGCCATCCCCACACAGTGGACAGATATGTTGAGGGAGAATAAATGGCACCCAGGGGATTGGTTGCGGAGGAAGGGAGATCAACGGCCGGGCTGAGTGTACCAGATCACGCAGGTAGAGGAGGGACGAGTCGAGGCCCGRGAATGGAGGGTGGCCACTGGGCATGATGGCCTGGGTACCCCCCTCCACCCGCAGGGGGCGGCGAGCCAGTGGTTTGCTACGGAGGATATGGAGTCGGTGGTGGTCAGTGTAGAGGTTACGAGGGGGGGCCTCCTGGGAACAGTGAGGCCCTTCAAAATTAGCAGCAGGCGTAGGGACCTGGCCATTAATCCTACGGTGTGGCACTGGCCACCACAGAACCACCTCAAGGAGAAAATCCCCCTCCACCAGGTCACGACAAAGATCATGTACCGGTCGTTCCTCCCAGAGGTGGACATAAGAGAGGAGCTAGTGGACAGATGGCACAAGCGAGACTGGTTGCCGCCATGCTATSTGGTGAGATGGCGGACGTCCGCGTGGCGGGAGCAGTGTGCCACCCTCAAAGACCTCTCAAATCAGAAGCAGGCGGGACTGCTTTGGCTCATCTATCACTTGGCAGTGCCTACCGCGCAGTGGCAAGCAAACAAGAGTAACTATCGAGATGAGCGCTGCGGGGCGGGTTGTCAGCAAGTGGAGGACATCCCACATATGTTTGTCACATGCCCGGTGATCCGTGATTTTTGGATATGGTGGGCATCCAGTATGGCAAACTCTACGCCGTTCGATGTATCAGAGGATGACGCAGCTTACATCTTGCTGGGGGCTCTTGTGCGCGTGGAAAGGAAGGACAAAAATGAGCTCTACGTGATGGAAGTGATTTGGGCGACGGTCCTCTGGACAATCTGGACATTGCGGAATGAACGATGTAGGCAGGGGAATGCGATAGTGAGCCAAGAGCTGCGAACGAGAGTTCTGGAGAACCTGCGCACAACGATGTCCATTGAGGCCCTGCGGAGTCGACGGACCAGGGGCCAGGCACTTACAAGATTCTGGGCGGTCTGGGGGAAGTACCCAGACTTAGTTCAGAGGGATGGAGGAGATGGCATGTGGAAGTATGGTCCAGCCCTGACAAATAGGATAGGGGAGGATGTATAGAGCACACAGTACGGCTTAGTGTATAGTATTAGGACCGCTGACGGATTTCACAGTGTGTGTGTATAAGAGACAGGGATGGGCCAGCTTAGAACGGGACGCCCCCCTCCGTCTATCCCGGCCTGGGTTTTTCAAAGCCCGGACTACCTGCCGTTGATCCAACAGCACTG